ATATTCTATTAATGCTATCTAAGTAAACAATATAAAAAGGTAATCTTTGCTTTTTTAAAGCATTATTTGATATTGAAATAGAATTTGAATATGAATAAGTCGCAAAACCCATTTCTAGCATTAATAATAATGAAATCAATCTTCCTTTAATATAGATGGCTAGACTAATCAAATTTTATAAAACATTTTCAAATGATTATTAATAATAAAAGTCTAAAAAATGAAAATAGAAAAAATTAAACAAATATGTCTAGGATAATATAAGAGGGAATAAAATCATTATAAATATGAAAGAAAAGTCAGAGAAAAGATTTTTTAAATGGATTAAATGAGAGTGAGAGCTTAAGATTTTTGCTATTCTTCCCCTTAAAGACTTAGGGACTCTATCCAATCTACATAAGTTTAACTAGACAATGGCCTTTTTGTTCATTCTACATGCTTAAAAAATGGAGGATGATTACAACAATGACTGATTTAAGGTGCTTTGCTATTTCTTGGTATGTAATATGTATCATAGGTTTCATAGAGGATTATATACAGCAATACAAGTATTTTATCAAGGAGAAAAATCTGAAATTCTGATCTATTTAACACCTTTAAGAAATTTGTTTTTTAAAATTCAAATCCTAGAAACATGTTCCTACCTTTAGGAGTAATGCCAAGTATAAATCCTGAATATGTATTGCAAACTAAAATTTATCAATAAACAAAATAAATAATTAAAATCTTATCAAAGAAACTTAAGAAGCTGCTGAAATAAAAGAAAGGAATCTATTTAGTTATAGTCAGAATTTTTATTTAGACCAGATACTAAAAAGCATATGTATAATAATTTACTAGTATTGATATATTTAGCATGAGATTGGATGGAAAGAATCAAATTTTTTAAATAATTCCAATTAATAAAAGAAAATATCTCCACAGATTAGTATAATTAATAATTAAAAATAATAAATTAATAATATAGAAAAAGATATTAATACAAAAGGAGGTCTTTTTTAATATGAACTAAACAAAACCCTTGAACGGCTTCTCTGTTTGGACTTAAAATTTGAATACTTCTTTTTTTTAATTCAAGAAATTAAAAAAAAAATATAAATCAAAATTAATCCTTCTTTACCCCTCCTAGAGTCTAGCTTAATAGTATATATATGCATATCTATCAAGAAAAATATCATAATCAAGTTTTATGACATTTAAGTGCATAATATGATTTGATTAGGAAATTTTATATTTTCATGAAGGAGAAGATCTATATTTATGAGGATAGGCATGATACAAATGCAGAAGGTTATTTGAATACGAGGATTAAATTTATCTTTCATTAGTTAGAATTATTGTTTAAATTACGCACTACCATGTTGACTTCTTACATATGTATAAAGATATATTTTTATAATTAGGAAATTGTAATGACTTAATTAAAGTATTTTAAGCGCACATTAGAAAATGTTTTATACTAATGTTATGGATAATCCGAAACACTGTTTCTCTATTATTAGTACAATGCCTTCTATTGATATTTATTTCTCTTAAGATTCAATCTTAACTATTAAAGAATATATTTACTCATTATTTGATCATTGCTTTATGATAATAAATTTGCTCCTTGTTTCAGTATTTAATATTTATAATCCGCGAAAAATATAGTTAGGATTCTCATCTCAATTTAGTTCTATTCATTCTTATATTATCTCTTAAATCAGGCCATTTTTCTTCTTTATTACAATATCTTAGTCAGCTTTATTCCCTTTAAATTTCTAAAAGCATTTATTTAGAATGGTATATTAAATTTATAATAATTTAATTATTTTCTAAATTATATATTGTATTATTTAAATAATATCAAATTGACATTGTTATTTTAGGCCTTAATATAGAAATTTAAAAGCAGTATCATACGTGAATTGCTATTTTTATCCTAAGACTTAGTTGAAAACTGGAGAATTAATCAAAGAAATTAATCTTTTATTTATCAAGACCAAATATATAAAATATACACATTTATGTATTTTAAATTATAATGATTAGAATTTAGGAACATTTATTTCATGTTAATAATCTTTATCTAATTGAACAGAATTATTTGGTATATCTACTTCAAGTATTTATTGAAACACATTACCATCCAATTTAAAATCCCCACAAAGGCTTTATTGGAATACTTGGGAATTTGTTTATATACTTATTCACTTAATTGCTATATTTGATTTATATATGAGTTTAATATGATCTATCCATTTCATTGTAGAATACAAATTAATTCAGATTTATTTTCTAATTCTAAGTGGCAAACATAAATCTAAACATTGATTTAATAAAATTATTCAGACTCAGGAACACTTCTTAAAATGCTTAAATTTATATAAGAAGAATGGTATTTCTCTATGTTTTGTATCTATTTATAAAAATTATAATAGATTATTAATTGCTGGTATTTCGGCTGTTTCTACTTTTAAGGTCTATTCAAAAACAATTTTCCCTAATTTAATGGGTAAGACAAATTTATTAATTTTGATTCTTTCTTAATTTGAAAGTATAAGTATAAATATAGATTTTGAATTAAAGTAATACTAAAATCGAATACATAGTACCACATCATTGGCTAATTTGATTGCAGTTTTTTCAGTTCAAATTCCATAATAGTTGCTTATCACTTAATGCAAGTAGTTTCGGAATATACACTTTGTGTTTTTGAGCTGTATGGCCTATCATCAAAAAATTAGTGAAGTATTTTTGTCATGAGATTGCAGGTAGAATTAATAAATATTTTTTTGAGAGATCAAAATTGAACTTTTTAAAATATCTAAAAGCTAAATATTTTGGGATGCTTTTATTTCCTTAATCTAAAACAGAA